ATTAATTCTAAAGAAACTATGAGTTAATACCAACTCTTGAAAATGTTCGAGCTAAGTTAAGTAATAAAAAGATTATTAAATTACTAGACTAGAAAGATGGGTTCTTTAATGTTAAACTTGATCAAAACTCTAGTAGGTAACATTTGTACCTTTAGCACACTTTTGGTTTTGTGTTGTTCGGTTTTGGTTGGTTTTTAAGATTACCCTTTGTTTTATCATGTGCTCCTGAATATTTTCAAAAAACAATGATAAAAATTTTTGATGACATAAAAGGAATAATAATATATTACGATGACATAATTTTGGCTTCAGATAATGAAAAGGAACATGATAATGCTTTACAAATTATAATGAAACTTGCTGAACAATACAACCTTAAATTTAATAAAAATAAATTATAATATATAAAGAGTGAAATAAAATATTTGGAGCATATATTCTATGCATCAGGAGTATCACTGGATCCAGACGGAATTCAGGCTATTCAATAACAAAACAAAAACTCAAAGATTTACAATCTTTTTTCGGTATGATAAATTATTTCAGAGAATTCATACCGAATATGGCTAATCTGACATAACCACTCTGACAATTATTAAAAAACGATTTGTATTGTATTTATGGACTGATTATCATACTGAATGTTTTAACAAAATACAGTTGACTCTACGTGATCCTCCAGTATGAAGGAATTTTGATCCTGTATTGCCAATTGTATTGCAATGTGATGCATCCAAGTTTAGTTTAGGGTGTTGTCTGTTATAGAATAACAAACCAGTGGCATTTACTTCTAGAGCTCTAACAGATATTGACTTCAATATTAATAATAATAGAAAAAGAATTTCTCAGTATTGTTTTTGTTTGTAGAAAATTTCATATTTATATCAGGGGTTAAAGAATTAAATTACCGTTTTATTGTAGGTTCCTTGAATTGACATAGAATTCATGGTTTGAGGTTTTCGAAAGAAACTTTTTTCACATGGTTTCTATGATTTTCTTTTAAAAAATGTGAAACATTTGAATTTCGACTTTCAATTGTTTTTGTTATTCAACTTAGACAAGAAAGTTGGATACGGTGAAAATTCTATTGATTTCGGCAGAAATAGCCCGCAATATCAATGTTGCGTTTGGAGAGGGGTCTGCTAATGAAAGCACCGTGCGATTTTGGTTTAAACGCTTTCGTTTCGTGTTTCGTCGATTTTTATAATTTTCGTAATACAAATACTGAAAATAATTGTAATAATGAAAATATTTTTGTTAATGTGAATAGTCAAGAAAATAATTTAAGAAGATTAAGAGTCAAATTAATTTTCCTAGTAGATTTGACCATTATATATTATATTAAGATATGTAAGGTTAACAATATTTATGTATTAAATTTTAAATGTATAGGAGTTTGGCGGTATAAAACAGGAGGATAACAGCAAATCGTCAACGCAACTCCCTTGAGTGTGGTTTTGTAGAAGAATGTTGCTCGAATCCTGGACTGCAAAAAGAACCAACAAATCCATTCTCGACCAATTGAGAATCAGGAACAGATTATCCACCGTCTGCTATCAGCGAGTACTGAGTTACTTTGGTCAAATCGCTAGAAGACAACCTGATAGCTTAGACAAGTTGGTCATTGAAGGGAAAATAGATGGCAAACGTAGACGAGGTCGTTCACCTACCCGGTGGTCTGATCTTATAAAAACCGTAACTGGACTCAACGTACCGGCCGCTCTACGCCAAGCAGAGGATAGGGTAGCATAGAAGCAAATCATCAAGGCTTAAGGGATGTCAACGTAACTTTCATAAGGGAAACGACTTTCAGCAATGAAGACCGCGACCAAGAAGAAGCACACCGTATCGTCGTTTAAATCGTTCTTCTCGCACGATCTCCTCCCATACTTTATTTCAAATTATTTGCTCTCTTTTACTCCTCACACACACTCCTCTTAGTACACTCAACTTACAATCTCTTTTATACTAACCTACTGTTCCGTTTCCCACGCTACGATGTAAGAATTAATAAAAAAATGGTGGAATAGACTGTTTGTATTAATGAAGGTTCTAATAAATAATATTAATTTTTATATAGTACTTTAAGAATACCTACCTGAAACCAACAAACAAGAGGCCTACCCTAAGGACATATTTTCCCTATTTTCTTGGCATAGAAATAAAGAGACTTATTACTATTAATATTACAAGATTTATTCAAAATTTGAGTTTTGAGATTTAAAGTTTGAAATTGATCTTATATTTTGAAAAAAATACTCTGCAAAATTTTGCCAATGCTCTCTATATGGTCGCTTAAAACCAAGGATTGGATCAGATGTAGTCCTTATCATTCGAAAACAGCATCTTAGGGCATTCTTAGCTTCAATAATATTGAATATTGAATGCATTTGATTAAATCTGCCCCCTTACTTTCGAACGCATTCGCGCCCGATCGACACTCACCCCCACTCTCGATTAGTTCAAAAAAGTTACGAAACAGCACAACCACAACGTCTTTCGCAATTGCGTTCGAGAGTAATGAGGCTGATTCCAATCTCACACACAAGTGACAACTGATCTCGCATTTTACGACTAAGATACCATATAGAGCTAACTACGAAAAGAAAGCGAAAGTTGAATATAGAGTTCGTTTTGTTTTGTTCCTGTTTGAATAGTCCTGCGATTCTTTAAAATTCTGAACTCAAATTTGAAACACGTCATTTTGTGAAGAAATTCTATCGATTCCATTTTTTGTATGAAATACAAAACAAAATTGATTGATTATACGCGTCTCGGACATTATATTCCTATGTCATTTCGAAACTCACTTCACTTATGCTACGAAAAGTTATTACCAAGATTGAGCAGATGCCGCTTTTTTAAATGACTTGGGACAACTGAGTGAGAATTTTTACACAGTCGCAGGGCAGTTCGCATTGCTTCGTTTCCGACTGACTCTTTTGGTGAATGTAAAAATTAAAGATTTATGTACATAAATATAAATAAAACAATTTTCGAGTATAAAATAACGTTTACTTATTGATTAATTATAATATAATGTGACGGCACTCACAATACATTAAATTCCGTTTAGTTAGCGACACAGCTATCGACAGTCCCGTTTGCGTCTTCGTTACAACATACCTATGATGAACCAATTCGATTCCTAAGCCAGTATATAATCACCTATTAAATGAGGTTAGCAAAATTAATGACACTTGAAAACATGTCAGTATTTTTAGGCAAAACTGACAAAAATTATATAAGAAGCAGCATAAGAGAAGGTAATTGAGAGAAGGAAAAGAGAAGGTTTATATTCAATAATACGTCAATAGCAATGATAGCCAGGGAGTTCGAAAAAAATTTAATGCTATCTGGCCTATAAATTAAATTATCCGGCCATATCTTAACAATATAACACTAATTACTCGTACAATACTCAGAGAATTCCACAGACAATTTTTTGAAATTTTTAATGACGCTACAGGATAGGTTTTAATAACGTTATATAAAAGTATAGACTAAAATTGATAGTCTATGATAAAAATATAAATTATACACCCCTTAAATTTAACTCAAGTACATAAGTAAAAAAACCTACTTAAGCAATAAAAAAACCAACAGAGTAACAGTAGAAATTGTTTGATTAATGACTAATTGATTTACCTAGTGAACCCCAAGAAACAGTGAGTGAAATTCCCTTATTGGTTGATACAAAAACATACATTTCTGGTTTTGCCAATTACGTAACAATTGAAAACTAAACACTCAATTATATCTGGTAACCTACTGCATATAATAAATATTTACACGGGAAATAATAACAGTATATAAAATAATATTATTGAGCATCAAAGTAAATTGCCACAATATAATTTTCAGTGGCTATTTGGTATTCTACTGACAGTGGCAAGTAAACTTTATTTCACGAGATATTTCAATTTGAAATTCGCTCTTTATTTATTATTAGGGAGTCTTCAAGACTACTACATATAACATCTATCATAACTATAAAAAAACACATATAATTCCTAAGAATATTACATGAATCATCATAAATCAAAAATACTTTACAGTTACTTAGAGCTTAACTATTATTTGAAAAAAAAAATACAAAAAAGTTTTTTTTTTAATTTTATTTTCAAAACATGAAAACATTGTGACTATATTGTTACACAATACCGGCAATAAATATATTACGAATAGTTCCTTAATAATAATATTACAATTAGGTAATTTATATAGATTGGCTAAAAGCTTTGCTTTTTTTCATCTCAATGGACATTTTGTTTGTAATTTATTTACTTTATAATACGACCACGAACAATATGTAACTCGGCCACTTTCTTAACTAGTGTCATATCTTAAATAGTAAATATTAGACAACATTACATACATCGCTCAGATTCCAAATTAAGTAGCTAAATCACTTTTACTATGGCAATCTGAAACAAAGAAAGTACCACAACACCCAGACCTGAGACACCATAGAAAAGTATTTTCTACAGGGACCCAACCAAGAATCTAATCCGGAAATGGCGAAATATTGAAACCGGCGTGCCACTCAGCCACCAAATCGTCTATTTGAAATTATACAATATATCATTGGATATTTATACAGTGTTTACTTATGAATATAAGCCCTATATCATCATTAATTATGAAAGAATTATAATATTTTGAAAATACCGCTTTAAGAAGCGCTAATTTCAAAATATAGGATACGTACTGAAAAAAATATTCTTAGAAATGTAAAAAATGTTCCATGTTTTGCATGTTGAGTTTATTTTATTAACTTTTTCGATACATTTGTCATTCTTCACTCATTAACTTAAAGTTAAGCTCAAAATCGGTTGAGAAAAAATTAAATTTTGCTGCCTGCAAATAGAAATTTGAATAAAATGTTATGTATAATAATGCAAACTTAAGTTTTTGTCATTTACCTGGTAATTAAAGAGGAACACATCATGTTTCTACTATATTATGACTAAACAATCTAAAAGAGATCACGTCTCTCTCTTTCTCTCCATACCCCAGAAAGGGATAGAACTACATATATGAAACGTAATTCGTAAATAAGCAGACCCACGGACTGTGTGCATCACGACTTTGCTTGTAAATAGTCACTCAATAATCAAGTGCCCATTCGTTCTCCTGCAAGAAAGCATCGACTACCTCCTTCATAGTGAAGTTAGGTATGAGCTGATCTGCGGTTAACTTCACACGAGTCACTGGATCAAAATGTCCGACGCGCTGTAAAGGAAATGCTATTATAGACTATACAACTTCATAATTTCAAATTAATATAAATAAATACTACACATCTCATACATTGTTATGATACCACACCAAGTAGCCAAAGCCCTTGTAATCTGGGACAACGTAGATATCATAATATCCAAACCCGAGACAATATAAAAAAAAAATCTACATTGACCTGACCAGGAATAGAACCCGAGTTGCCAATGATGATATCACATTGAAACAGATGTTTCAATGTGATATCACCACGAGATGGAGAATATCACTACTAAAGGCAAATAGGTGACTCTTGAGGGAAATTATGTTCACAAAAAATTTGGTTTTTTGTCTCTTTCCTGATATATAGTTATTTATATTACAAACGACAGCTTTGCCAGCCTCCTGATATTTGAATTTTATTGCTATCTGTTGTGTAGTATTTTTATACATGTTTTAAAAAATATTACTTTTTCTTGCCTAGTTTATCGTTTAAGTTATTTATACACTCTATGCATAAGCTATCGTTAACATCGGCCTAGTAATTGAATTTCTGTTGTTTCCAAACTGTGACAAAAATAAATTTAACAACTAAAATGTCTATTTATTACATACTAAATGCTTTGTATATTCGGGGGGCCTGATGGTTTTTACACAGTCCCATGAACGTCGTTATTTCTGAAATGTCATTTAAAAATAATAAAATAACTTTATTCACATGTTATTATATAAATTCTGTCATAGTTAAGAAACTTCTTTATTTTAAATTAATCAAGAAGGGGGTTAAACCAAATGGCTAAGATCAAATTCAATGTGATCATAACCAATAAAGAGCAAATAAATTAGAATTAAAGATGATTTCATTTTTTCCTAAAAAAATATAATCTATACTAATAATAAAGCTGAAGAGTTTGTTTGTTTAATTGATTGAACTCTAAAATCTCAGGAAATACTGGAACGAATTCAATTGTTCATAATAATTATTAAGATGTTATGTTGCTTTGTTTTATCGTATGTAATAAATTAATCGCTGTTGTGAGAAAAAAAATTATAAATGTCTATTATCACATAAGTATGTAATGATTGTAAAAAAAATAACAACCTATACCCCGATAAAGCGCATTAACTAACCTCAAGATGCTCTTCGATATCCTTCTTCTCGTAAGTTATACCACTGGGCGTTATTACTGGCTCATTCAAGATCTCAAAGCTGATTTTGCCGCAAAGATAGTCTGGCACATCACGCTTCTGCAACACATTACAACAAATTCACTTATAATACATATTACCAGTTAGTAGAAACTTGGTAGAGGCTAATTTAATAAATGGATGTATTTACGCCCATGTGTAGGCGTCACTAATACCGTATGGGTGTTAACAAACCAATTACTTATCAAATGGCTTCCCATTATCATGATATTTCAATTCATGCATATAAGAACACTAATTGAATATGCACGATGTAAGCAACCTTATAAAACTTATGTAGGTAATGATAAAGAGGACTCATTTTTGTTTGTTGGGTACATTATTAAGGAACATTACATACGTTTTTTATATTTTTTGCGTAATCAATAAGTACCTATGTACATTTTCTACATAGTTGTGACGTAGCGAGACCCCATTCTAATTTTATCTAAACTACTCCTTGTTAAATTTAAGCAAGAATATCTATTTAATATTTTTCTATTATCTGATTGACGGACTATATAGAATTTTATTATTTAAATCCCTGAATATACAGTTAACGTTATGTAGATTACTGTAAAATCACTCGTCTAGATTTTAAACCTTAAAACAGTATGGTAAAGTTCAAAATCAATTGTGGAAAGACATTATGGTAACCCCGTGTGTACTACGGAGCCCTGAATATACATTGAACACCAAAATAATATGTACTCATCTAAAATTATTAATTATCCAGCGGTGCATGATTGATGCATTTTACTGTGTAAATAGTAATTCTATTGGTAAGGTTAGATTAGATTACTATAAAAGGTAAGTAAATATCTGCAGTATGATTTTCTGTTAAATACAATCCATAAATAAATAAAGAAATTCTTACCCGTCTCCTTTCATCTATCTTCGAAAATAAATTGTTTAACTCACTAGAATAGTTATTCTGGAAAAAATATAAAGGTATATTCATAATATTATCTTATTATAAAATAAATAAATAAAATTATCTTATCTCTTATTATTCAAGGAAGACAATATTAGGTTGGGGAAAACTCTTTTCGCACATAGTATGCATACACTTGTAATAAAATCTTTCTGGCTATACCATTTGTATCTGGCTGGTTTCAGAATCATTAAAGATAAAATTTGAAAGAAGATAACTCTGAATACTAATTAGGAAAATATGTGATTAACATTTGTTTTTCTTACTGTCAGAATGAGTGAATCAAATGAAGATACAGAGCAAGCCGCGAAAAAAAAGCAGTTTCTGTAAAAGTATCACAAATTTGGTTTAAACGTTTCGGTAGTCTGGAAATTTTGATGTCAAAGATGCACGTCGCTCCGGTCGCCCTGTTACAGATAATATGGATGGCATTTTTTTAAAAGTGGCATATTCGATCGGCACATCAGTAGTTACGATTTACTGGAGATTGACCAAAAAAGTTGGTTACAAAAAAAACCGAATCATTTTTGAAGAAGCTGATAACTGGCTGACGAAGGTCGATCAGGCATCACAGAATGTGGCGAAACCCAGGTTAACTCGCAAAAATGTGATGATGTATATATGTTGGTGGGATTGGAAGGGCATTCATTATGAGATGTTACTGCCAGGCAGAACCATCAATTCGGAACTCAACTGCGAACAACTGATGATTGAATTGATTAAAGCAAGAAGTTGAGAGAAAGCGGATAGAATTAATCAATATTAGGGGTGTGGATTTTCTACATAATAAGCTAAACCTCACACATCATTTGCCACTCAGCAAAAATTAAGATAGTTTGGCTGGAAGGTGTTAATGCATCCGCCATATTGTAATGACCGTCAGATTTCCACCTATTTCAGTCTCTTCAAAATTCTTTAGGCAGTGTCAGGTTAACATCACTCAAAGACCGCCAAAACCACTTGTCACAGTTTTTTTTTTATATATTACAGGGTCACCAACAGTGGATAATTGCTTAAAAGTAAAAATTTAAAACAGGTTTGCTTTTAACTTTACTTACAATTAAAGGCTAACCACAACATGCTTAATCAAAAGTCACAAAATTTCTACAGCAATCAGATCATATCCCTACCTATAAGATGGCAAAAGTTATCCAACAAAATGGTAACTACATGCATTAGTTAAATATAAATAAACTTTATTAATAAATATTTTGAATTATCAAATAAAATGCAAAGAAACTTTTTCCCCAACCTATTAAATCAAAAAAATAAAGGGAAACCACAATAAATTTTATGTCATGAATTCAAGTGACAATATCTCTAATATTTTTAATGAGAATGGCTTAATGTAATAAATACATTAACATTTTTTTGGAATTAGTTTGTTTTAAATATTTACATAATAAGATAAATCATATTGTTCTTCTCCTACAAAAAGCATGATAACAACTATAAGACATATTATCACTTTATCAATGATTTGCTTAACTGAATTTTAATAGAAAAATAATTAACACTCACACATTCTTCTTCAACTTTAGAAACCCTCGAGCTTACATCTTCTTCATTTGTATTCTCTAATTTTATACCTTCTATTCTACGCTGCATATCTTCACTAATTAATCTGACAATTAAACAGATTTGCAACTCAATTACCTTATACCCATTCTGCATTATTATAAAGACAAGTTAGTATATCATCCCTAAGGAACAATGTGACTTACAACTCATACAAAATTTACATAATACCTGTGAAGGCTCTTCATTTCAGAACTAATAGAATATTTGCCTAAATATTCTATAATTTCTGAAATGAAAATCCTAAAATTTTTGAACCATTCTTATACTATTGTAAAAATCATATCCATGAGAATTATTTGTGCATCAGAGGCAATGTCAGGTTGTACATCTGTTGAATCATAAATTAATTTAAAAATATGTTTCTTAAAAATGTTTCTTAAATAAAAAAAAAATAATCAGATAAAAGAATAAGTCTTCAGATGTTAATAAGTATGAGTGGTAGTGGATTATCCTAAATATTATGTTATGTTAGTTAACAAGATTTCCTTCTAGTTGGATAATATCCAAATTCATACCTATTAAGATAAGTTTGGAGTTCAATTTCTTGAGATATTCTCTTCTCTTCCTGAACATTCCACCTCCTCTTTCTAGCAATGCGCAGCTGAGCAGCAATGTCATCACCAAAGTTCAACTTCTGTTCACGAGCCAGATCACTCGCTGAAAAAGTTAAAATTACTTTATAACTTTCAGATATAATTACTTGAATACAAATACGAAGATTTTTATCCATTTCCCAATCAAAATTACAATGTATCATTTTCAAGTCAAAATGAAATGTTTCATTATTTATTTGCCTTATATGATCATCTATGATAATAATGGAAAGTTTACCTCTATGCAAATGCTTAATGGCTTCATCGTAACACTCTAATTCCACCAAAGCTTGTCCAAGAAAGAAGTGCCCTTTAACTTGATTGGTGTCTATATCCAGAGCACGCCTGCAATCCTGGCATGTAGCTTCCCAATGTTTCATTTTTAAATGACATAGCGCTCGATTAGTAAAGTATGTGGCAACAGATGGATTTTTTATCTGGAAAACATATTTATTCATATAAAAAACAATGACAATTTAAGTTTGCCATTCATGACAATCATTTTATTGTTAAGACAGATCCAATATCAGCGAATAAGAGTATAAACAAAGTTTTTTATGCTCTTCCTTTACTGTGACAAAATTATACAAAAACAAACCGCAACTACGTCACGGAATGATATGAAACAAAGAGATGACTGTTTATTTTGTTTTCTTACTTACAATAGCTTTAGTGTAGCAATTCATAGCATCTTCAAACCTTCGTAAGCTAAAAAGTCTGTTCCCTTGCTCCTTCAGCTCTTTGTCGCTCAAGTTTGCCGTAGAATACATATGTTTGCTCATTTTGCACAATACTTAAAATTTTTCTTCAAACTAAACTTTATCAGAGTTCATTATAAATAACACAAATAGTGAGATTTAAATGATTTTACAATTTTCATGCACAAAAATGAGTTATAATAAGACAAATATTTTCTTTCTAGAAAGAAGAAAAACAATCTGTCAACTTGACGGTTCCATTCATTTGACAATTTATTTTATTTTTTACAACGAAGTTTAAACCATACAGCTTACTCAATTCGAGTAATATTTTCATCGAAGCGTGTTTTGTGTTACGTATAGGCCTTGCCTATGGTTTGAATCGAATAATAAAAATGGACCTTGACATGACCCACCACGCCGATATGCCGATTGGTGGGTTGACAATTGCAGATGCAGACGAAACCGAATAGACTTAAAATGCCGTTCGAGCTCGAGATAATTTGGTCACCCACCCTATGATTGAAAAGTCGCACAATAGTCGCATCGCCGTTCGAACGAGCTCTTAATACATAAGTTAGTAATTCTCTATTTTCATAATACACATGTAAGAAAAACTAATAAAAACATCGATTGATTTACTTAAATGTAAAGATCGTTTTTAATTAAGACCCATATTACATCTCAACTGTGATTTCAACGTGATTTTTCTCGGAAACAAAAATAAATTAACAATTTTGACTTGTTGAATACTGAAGAATAACTCTTGGTATAGAAATAAGTGGCTTAACTTTTTAGAAATTTTGCTCATCTTTTTAATTAAACCCAAAATACCAGAAAAAGATTTTCATAAAATGCGCAAAGACACTTTTTTGAAGTCCTGGATTGAGCTACTGTTCTTAACAAACGAAATAAAAGAAATAGAATGATGAATGAATGAAAAGCGTCGTGTTCAAGTACATATTCATTTGTTTGTAATCCTTCTTTGGAATTTTTGGAGCTACTATAGAAAATACTGGAGACAGTGACATAACCATACCATCAGGAGCCCGAGGTAAATTATTAGATGGTGGCCCAACTAAAATTATAATGAAAAAGTATATTGTTAATAACAATAATTATTAATAAAAATATCTTAGGACTCTCTATTCCACAGAAGTATCATTATTGTCATAAAATCTTAAAGATTGAGCCACAGAATCTTCAAAAAGACAGAATAACCAAGTTACGTATGTACGTAGGCTGTTTTGTCCCATTTAGTTTTGAAATGAAAGGTCACTTCTAAACTCGCAGTCTTTTACCAATTAATTTATATCTACAAAATTTGTTTTATGAGGAAATCATTTTTATTGTTTTTTATTTAGGTATATTTAATTGTCATAATTCTTTTTTTTAGTCTTGCCACTCTATAGTTACACAAATAATCAGAAATTAAGAAAGAAGAGGAATGTCTGAAATAAACACCAAAAATTTGTTAATTTTTTTTTACAGATTTATAACACTGTCATTTAAATATTGCAAAATCAGGAAAAGCAAAATGTCGGATCAGGTGCTTCGTCAAATATAAACGGCCATTTGTATATCATAAAAAAATTATAACAATAAACAGATTATTGAAAATCCATACACATAAAAAAAAAGATATGTAGCTCAAAAATTCAATAAAAAAGAGTGTCGCCTACTGCTTTAAGAGGGAAATTGATAAGAAGGAACTTTAAAAGCAGGGTAGAGTTTAGAGAAGTCTTTGGTCCAGAGACTGTATTTTGGAACGGTTTGATGTTTAGGTTCTTCTGTCACTGTTCCGGTGGAAATGTTTCGTTTAGGCTTCGAAGACTTCCTGTAAATAAATAAAAACATCATCAACTAGCTTTCTGTATATCTTCTGCATTCACCAAGCTGAGATAGGAATCCACTATAAGTTGTTTTAAGTATACTAATGTCATAATTAAAATAACAGTGTAATGGAACCATATAGCGATAGAATTTCTGTAGCACCATGCTTACCGCGTATAGTTTGCAATGAGGAAACAAAGAGAAGATTCTTATGAAGGAAAAAATAAGAAAATAGTGTGGAAAATTTCCACGACATAAAATTATTTCTTATGTAACCTTAGTGCTTTAGATAGTATAAACTTTTTAAAAGTCATAGAATTGACAGAATGCATGCTGCAAGATTTCATAATTATGACAGGAGAATATGTGTCGGGTCAGCTAGTGGGGAATAAATATATGATAATTTTCAGAATGAGTACCTAAATCAAAGTCTAATGAACACGGAATCTGAAGGCCTATCCTCTATTTCTCCTAAAGCAAAATTTGGTCTATTTTCAATATGCCAAGACTCTAATACGATAAAGAAATTTATTTTTGATAATTTATTAGGAAAAAGACATAGAATCTGATCTGATACATGCCTAATGTAATGTTTATGTTACAATGTGGTTAATGAAATTAAAAAAATAAATACTGCCTCTGATATGACTAACAAAATTATAAAAACGATTCGTGATTATCCGAAAATTTAGTTAATGGAAAAACATAAAATGCCCTCCGTATAGAATTCATGGTACCTATCTGAAATAATTTAATTCCTTTTTAATATCGTGATAAAACCATTCAAATAAATGTATTATTTTATGTTACTCCATACTTCAAACTACATCTGCACTCGTTATACTAAGCTATCGGCACTTAACGTTGTGTATTATGGTTCAAGAGATACTAGGTATTCCCATTTATTATGGATAGCTCATTAAAAATAGAGAAACATGAGGAAAGCAGAAGTAATACGAGGATCAGGTGCAAGACAACTATACCGACTGCGTTTAAATATGGATCTTCCAAAATTAATACAATATCTACAAAGAGTATAAAATGAATATTTCACGTACAAAAAGGATATTATTATTCATAGCACCGTTATTATACCCACACTTTTGAAATCTTCATCATAGTCATCACCATCAACAACAGCCGTACGTCATCCACTGCTGAGCATTGACCTCCATCGTATATTTCCATGAAAATCGGTCTTGCGCTTGCGTTGCAAAATACGTGGCCAGATTATTGCAACAAAACTAAATGTTCGAAATCAAACTTACACAGTAGCTGGATTTTTATAAAGCGGAGTCTGTAATGGGACTTCCAGCTTAAGTTTCATCATTGGACACGGAAAATGTATGTTTCCCAACTGAAGAACACCTTCTGCAGAATCATGAACATCACTCTGTAGACGGAGGAATTAGATATAATTGAAAAATCTTTTCTGTTTGTACTCAAATCTATTAGTGATGATTATGTTATAGTTTATAGAAGCAGCTATAACTCTGAATAACTTAGTCAATATAACCATTTTACTCTAACAAAACCCGCTTGCCATGGTGGCGTGGCAGCAATAGGTAATATAGATATATTTTCTTTGTCACAGATAAAAGGGTACAGGGAATACAAGAAGTCTAAGTAGGAGTCAGCGTTCTCATATTTATTTTTAACTATTGTATAACTGAAATAGAGTGACAAACTAGCCTTGCCCATTTTTTTACTTGTTCTAATTTGCTTGACTAAGTTATTGCACCATGCGGCCAAGTTCTCGTCGGCTGCTCCTCTTGTCTCAAGCCTTTGTGTTAGTTCAGCCAAATTTCGGAATGGCTTTTGAACCTGTATACGATGTACGTAGTTGGTACAAAATGTTTATAATAAATACCCAAATCTTATATTTACTAGACCTGTTAGTTATAGATAAACTAAAAACAAACATTTTACATTTCTGCTGTTGCCAAGTTTGTTATTGGTTTTTCTATCTATCTCGTGGCGTCATTTACACGAGTCTATGACTCCCCCATCACGATTTCTGTTCCTCACTTTCATTAGTCGGTTATCACTTTATTGAACAATGAAATGAGCGCACACATATTATGTTCATGGTGTGGAACATATTTGCCTTACAAAAAATATTTTACATAACTAACAGGAGTTATATTTACTTTATTTTTCATATAAAATGAGATTTTACTTTACCACAGAAGTTTTAGCCAGTTTATCGATCAGCATATGCCTGAAAGACACCGCCCCAGCAGACCGCTCGCTGGGTCTCATGCTGGGCACGAATTGTCTTGCTCTGGCCGAAGGCGCTGCACTAGTAACCCCTTGAGAACTAAGTATATTAGACTTGAAATCAGGTTGGATAAGCACTTCCATACTTGTGTCGTGACGAAGCATCAACTCCTGTCATCAAACAAAACGGTTTTGCCATTCTGTAATAAAATCAGCAAAGATCGCGACGTCGAGCAAACCGCAGGTTCTTTGCTGATTTTTTTACAGAATAGCACAATAAGCAATAATAGGGATGATGACTAATTTTTGTTTGTTTGTCCGTCAGGTAGAGTGTTAAAAAATATTAAACACGTATTTTTTTATTTTTTTCCTAATCATAAAATTACGGCGTTACATTGAGTTGAAATTTTGCATGACGCACATTAGAGTACGTTTTCTACTCAACTGTGACATAGCGAGCCCCCACTCCTCAACATTAATGCCTGTTATCTAAGCTATTTCTTGTTAAATTAAAGTAAAAAAAAAATACGTATTTAGTATTTTTCTATTATATGACAGACGGACTAATTAGAATTGCATTTTCTTTACCCAGTCATCATCCCTATTACAATAGCCAAAAACAATTTTCTTCTATAAAAACAAACAGACTATTGAATAAGCAGATAAACATAATACCTGTAGTTTATTCAAATCGCTATCGATTTTAGCACGAGCCAACAATTCGGCTTTAAAGTCGTCCACCAAATAAGCCCAGTACTTGTTAACTTTAGCGTATTCAGCAAGATTAGCGCGTGGCAAATACGATAAGATACATTTACCAATAGCCGCTGGCAAGAGTTGAACCTAAACAAAAACAAAAATACTAGCGAAGAGTAATTTAAAATCAGTAACAGCTCGATACTTGTTGCATAGCTCGCTGGCGACTGCATGTCGCTCGGCGAACTATGGAAATATCTATTCCAGGAGATGCTGTGAGAGATTAAATTTAAAACTAATATACATCATCTGGAAAAGTGATAAATATTATTCATAAATGTAACAAGCTTAAGTGGCATTGAACTAGCCAAATATGTTGCAGAACCGACGACAGGGGACGGGTTCTCGAATGAAGACTATGATCCGCAAACGCAGTGTCGGACGTTTCTCGGCAAAATAGACTGGCGACTTCAAAAAGGTGGCTAGGTGAAGAAGTGGGACTGAGGTATTGTCTTATGGCGCACCCTGGGGGACCCTGACTATATATCCAGCAGTGAATGCAACAGGCTGACATAACAATGAACAGTTCAATAAAACTAAGATAAAGATGGCTTCGTTATTTCGATGAATAAGTATACTCACGAAATCTACAGTCTCTATTATTTCTGGTTTGGGTCGATTTACTTTCCATACTTTTCGTTTGGTGCCATCCTTAAATTTCATCTCAAACTCTTCCAACTTGACGCTGTCTCGCAGAGCTTTTATTGTAGAATTCCAAATCGCCAAATTGGCTTCCAGCTATAGATCCAAAAAACAAATTCATATATTTGATTGTAAAATCTGACTATAATTTGTTTTGTACTTTACCTCCTTCTGGGCATGTCCTGGAGTTGGTATCGTTTTATCAATTACAGTCTTTTGCTGTTGAGAAGAAATGTCTTTTTTGCTCTGAAATTAAATTTATCAAAATTCTTTACTTTATTTTGGGAAAACAGTATACTTTTTATTATTGTGATAAAACTACGGCACATTGAAAACTGTTTCACACTTCCTATTTATAATAATAATCTATCGCACGGTATGTGATCTTTCAACACAATTTCAAATATTTTTCTCTTTTCATTATTCAAAGCCATAAATTTTACCATATCATTATTCACCCTGCTACTGAAAACTAAGAATAATTACTTTATCAGCTACGGGCGGCGGCGGCGTCTTGTCTACATGAGTATCGTTGACAACGATACACTCCTCCAGGTCGAGCATTTGGTTTACCCTGTATCTGTCGTATATCTTTTCTGCTTGCGTCAGCACTTCCCACATGACTGGCCCCCCAGACACCGCTAGTAGTTCAGACAACACAATAGCCTGAGATTCCTGTATAAAAATGAATTTAATAGGTACTTCACCATTTATGTCCCAAAAGTAGGATGATTTTTTTTTTCAGAAGGTTACAAAAACAATATCTTTCTGAATTATAGTTACTGCAATCATTTTAAGTTATGGCGCCAAAAATCAACAATAGCAATTTAAAGCTGCTAAATTTTACCAAAGTACACGAAGAAGACCTATGAGACGACAACTCAACATTAACTCAAATAAACAAATAAACAGGCTCAATAAAAACGAAGTACCTACTTAATGGTATAGAAAAATACTTAAAATATTCACCAGTCCCAAATGTAATATTACGATTAAGTAACTTGACTGACCGGCTCTAGTGAAAGGAACCAAACTCTGTCACTCTTCATGACCAGCGCGAGGGTGGCAGCAGGCTGAGCTGTCCTGTTGTGGTCTAACGGTGTTTGGTCGTAACTGCTCCACACGTTTGGACTGCATGAATATATAATATTAATAGAGTAATTATATGAGGACAAACTAACTGAAAACGAATTTGAACACGGCGGATCCATGGATGAGTGACCAAAAAGGAATATCTCTAGCTTCTCATGCTTCGGAAAGCACGTTACGTTGGTCGCAGCTTATAATCAGCATCTTGAGTCTTTAGTACCCGTCAATGATGAGACTGACCTAATAACTCTACCTCTTTAGTACTTAGTCTTTAGTACCTGTCAATGATGACTGACCTAATAGCAATGGAAACATAAATGAACGATGCCGATGAAGTACTAATTACAATTAAGAATTAGGAATTTAAATTAATTCTAGGAAATCTTTGCAACTATTCCTTGGGAGCCGTAATGACGTCTATAAAAGTTACGTTTCTCTTGTCTTTACGTTTATTCATCTCACCTGGTGCTAATATTTCTTTGATTACAACTTAATTACGAAGGCGTCATGCAGAACTGGCAAATCGTGGGAATTCTATCAACAAATTCTTTACAAATTTTTACCAAACTAATTTACAAACAATTGCTCTCTACTCTTTTCACTTTTTAAATAGGGGGTTCTTAACATGATGAAACTATTCATATATAAGCAGATTTGATAATTCTTGCATTTACAATGCTCCCGTGCTTAAATTAAGTGCAATAACTCGAAATTTTAGGCAAACTGACTTAGTACATATTCGTGATGAAAAGTGAGCTATATTTTTTTGTATTGACAATAGTTTTGATTCTTTTGATATGGTATTGTCAAACAAAAATTAAATATTTAACTGCGATTAGGCCAAATGTAGCCAAATCAAGTAACTGCACTCTTCATAAGGACAGCAGAATGCTATATTGATAATTATGTTATAGAAAAACAAAACCTCTAAAAATAAATATCCAAAATTGTTTACCACTAACCCTTGTGGGTTACTACTTTGTAGTAGAAAGTATGATTTTGTTGAGAATAATGTTCAAATTATAATATTACTAACTCGCTTGCCGATAGCACTGCATCCTTAGGCCTACAATTCCAAATAGACTTGAGCAGCAAGGAGAGTGCCCAAGCACTCTGCATGTTATTCAGCAATGCCATCAAGTACCGCTTCTTATTGGCACAAGATATCCTTGCGAACCAATGCACGGTCGAGAGTAGGTGTCTGTTAAATTTTAACTTCTCTGCCGCCGCTGATTCTTCGTCATTTTCTTTATGGTTTATAAGAAATACGTTCATTTTATTAAGTTTAATTATAATTTTAGATTAGTTTTACTGAAATTTAATATATTTCCGCCAACGGCTTCAGCCGGCCTGTATTAAACATATAAACCTTCCACGTGAATCACTCAGTATATTAATGAAAAGACATTGAAATCCGTTGTCTTATTTGAAAGGTCTCAGCCAGTACTATGTATAAAAGAGTTTTAAACACTTCTTTGCCTTAATAAACTTTATCTATACCTATAAAAACTTTCTTTCATTATTTCCTTCTTATTTGTTGCATTTTTATGAAAATTAAAGCAAAGTTTAACCACTAGACCAAATGGACTTGAAATGTGGAAGTGTCCTTTCTACGCCTCATGTACAAAAATTACGCACGTGCAAAGATTTTATATAAGTACAAACCATACGTCATGTCGGATAATATCATGTCGTTTATTAAATGTACTTTTTTCGTCAATTCTTCGAATGAATTCATTGTGAATATTTCGTGGTCAATAATTGATTTTAATAAAATTCCTAAATTACCATACAATGTGTTATTATCTAGACGTCACGCATCGCATTGATGCTGTCAATTTTGAAAAAGATACATCTTTTTATCTTGCTCCTACAGGTATAATTAATTGGTCCTAGAAATTTATGTTAATATGGGTAAGCGAAACTTATCCTGTCCATCTTATTGTGTTCACTAATATGGTAGATTGGGATTCTTTCTAGACATTTTTATTAAATTCGTGTATTGGCTACAACAGAACGTATTCTCATAATTACGATTTAATTGGACGTAATTTCTCAGTACAAACAAAACCAGTTGAAAGATTGTAGTTTTTCTCCTAACAAACTGAAACGAAACCATTACGTTTTCTTAAACCAGCTTTTCTATCAAAATATTTTTAAATTAAAATATTAAACTAATAATTGAACAATTTAATCTCAATTAACCTGGACCGATTGCATAAAATCAGTAAGTTATTCCTCATTGTAATGATCTGTAAATATGTTTTTGTATGTTGTACTTAATTATAGTTTAATATATGTAGTGAAAACAACTTTGAATATATTTAATCAAAGGAAAGCTAATAACGATGAATGATTATAATTCCTGAATATCTTATCCAGTAGCTACAAATAAAAATAATTATCTAAACACCCATTGCATCGATTTTGTGACATAAAAGCTTCCGTTGCTACATAATAATAATACAAATCGCAATGTGCCAGTCACGCAATTGATTTCAGGTCCAGTACGACATCAGCATCACAATGGCTTACGCAGTTCCCATTATAAGAGGTTCCACTTAACGATGTCGGTCTGACGCAGGTAACAATCCTCTTTACTGTCAGTTTGAACTCGCCATTTGGCTGCCATGACGCGAGTGGAAACGCGATGTCCACCTCGTACAATACCTATTAAACCGCAACGAGCAAATTTATATCGGTTCCTTTCAGTGATAATCATAGCATCGGTGGTCGCTGTTGGGTACTTTTTATTAGAGAAACCGGATGATTATCTCGATGATCCATCTGATCAATACGTCGTTAAGAACATACCTAAGATCTTTACGAAGTTGGAAGGTGTGGACCCTGAAGAGAGAGAAGTGTTTCAAGGATTCAGAACCTCGTTTCTTCCCCCGGAAGAGATTGTGTTGGCTCGCACCTATCCTAACGCGAAAAGGGAAATATACGAAGGCAATGTGACAAGTGACATATTGATATGGGATATGGCAGATACAAATCACGGTACTCCAACTAGAGTTAAGCGGAAAAGCCACTTTAAATATACTTCACGGGACTATGAGTAAGTTTATCATTTAACGTAGTTCGTCATTACTACTTTGGCCTATTTTTCAAACACATTTATATTTTAGCTCAGCAGTTGTTTCTAATAAACGACAAAAGGATGAAGAGCATAAAAGTGATGACGATGATATTGAAGCAGAGGACGAAGAATATAACACTTCTGACACCACATATGATTATAGCGATGAGAACGAATCGCTAGAAAGGTATTTTAATAATTGTAGTTGATCAATATGATTCTCAAAATGTTCAGATATAATCTTAAGGGGATACCTACCAAGCAAGGCTCTATTGAACCTTCTTTTTTACCTCAGCCATTCTAATTTAAAACCATAGCTCAGAAATATGAATAGTTTACAAATATAGGTATGTCATTAAAGTTGTACGAAACACAGCAAAATATTACAATTAGCAACACAAGCATTTTTGATAAGGCTAGGAATCAGAAAATAATTTTGCTACACAGTATTAAAAAACAATGAAAATGATGAATTAATACCAACCACAGTCAGAAGCCTTCGTTGTTTAATGAATCGGTTAATTGTGTAAAATATATATAAAACTTTTTTAGTCCTTTATGATACATTGACATAGAGGCATATACTTAAATATTGAATGAATGGCAATTCCATTAATTCGAAGTAAAAACTGTGATTATTCTTTTAAATTAGTTTTATCTGTACTCTTGCTTGTAATACAAAGTCACCAAAATTGAAATATTTCAACTAACTATCGCAACTATCACGAGTTCGTATATGACAGTAGATATGTCTTAAGTCTACAAAGTCAAACACAAAAAAATCTTTTAATTAGACTTCTTAAAAATACTTTTGAATTGTCCAACATTTTTTTGGTACCACTCGTTCAGGACGTCTTTTGGCTGGTAAGAAGTACAAACAAGAAACTCACCAGCTCTAATGGGAGTAACGATATTCACAAAACCATTTCATTACCAGATCAATACATTATAAATAGTACAATGAATTATAAATGCACTTGTGTATTATATGCTATATTACATTATAAATAGTACAATGCATTATAAATGCACTTGTATATTATATGCTATATTACATTATAAATAGTACAATGCATTATAAATGCACTTGTATATTATATGCTATATTACATTATAAATAGTACAATGCATTATAAATGCACTTGTATATTATATCCTGTATACCCGCAGCATTACTACGTCGATTAAAATACTACTGGGGAAATTCGAGTTTACTACCTATTGTGATTATTAGAAAGCAATCGTCATTTAATTTCTAAGAGATACTGCAAAGTACCCATTAAAATATTTTCATTTAATTTTCATAATTATGAAAGTGGATTACATCAAATCTCCTAGATTGTGCAAGAACAAACCAGTTTTCAGAGTTTCATAAAAAATATACCTATTTATTTCCTATAATTGCATGTATATGCGTAATTATCTATTGCAAAATTTTACCGTAATTTCATTTATGCCAATAGTTACGTTGATCTGTGTCTTGCTTTTTATTTAATATAAAAAATTAAGCCATAAAAAATCGTAAAATAATTTAAAAAGTAAGTGGGACTGAAATAATGAAATGTTATGTTTTATTTATCAAATTCAGTATAGACCAGAGAGAGAGTCATGTAGACCGTGGCCCTTTTGATGATGTCGTGGAACAAATTCGAGGACAGCCAGAATTGGAGGAAGAAGAAATGGGTAGATCAGTTAACGTGTACAAACCAGCTAAATCTTATACAGGTGAGTTTTTATACGTCAAACAAGATGGTGTAACGCTAAAATAGTAGGTTCTGACGTCCTACTATCAATCTTGACAAATTTGGTTGCGCAAAGTTATCGTTATGGTGTTTTTCTTAAATTCCGCAGTTACGTATAAAACTACGAAATACATTTACGTACTTACACCGCAAATTGTATAGCACAACTCAAGCGTAGTACCAATTATTCAATTGGCTCTTGGACGAAATGAGTCAAGGTTACGTTTCACTAAACCCTGGATATTCTCACGTCTCGCTTGAATGGACACATTATTATTTCATCCGATTTTAATATAATGGCAATCAAAGGAAGGAAGTCAATTAATTATTATCACATATTTTCAAGGCTAAACATAATTACAAAAACCTGACAGGATAAAAAAACATATCCTAAGTAAATTGACCAAAGAAATCATATTGAACGATTAATAACTACGGAAATTAAGTACATGTTATTACCGTTATTTCTTTTTGATTGAATTATTGCATGAAAGACTCTTTATTGTACACACCATAAGTATATTAACAGAACATAATAATGTATTAAAAATGCATAAAAGATGAAACGTATGTATGGGGAATAAGTTTGTCGACCACTAACGTTGTATTTGATGTTTACTCAGCCATACACGCATTTTGGAAAGGTCAGGGTGATAAAGAAACCATAAGGAATACTCAAGCAAATATAATGCGCCAGTATATGGACGCTGAAGCAGATCCTTGTCATGACTTTTATCAATATGCTTGTGGAAACTGGGCAGCCCTTAACCCTATACCTGCTGATAAAGCTGGGTAAGTAGTTTTTTTTTTTAATTAAATGCACGAATAGCTTAGAAGAGAGATTCAAAATGTTTTATAATATGATGTTTATAAAATAAAAATATATTGCAATTACACGCAATATTTTTTCAGTTACGACACGTTCGAAATGCTAAGAGAAAATTTAGATGCAGTATTAAAAGAACTCCTGGAAGTTAAGAATGCTCAAGCAGCGCCAAGTATTTACCCTGGTTCAAAGTTAGATTTAGATGATGACTTTCTTAATAATGTTTTTCTAAAAATTACCGATAATGAAACAATAAATGCAGATAATCTGTATGTAGATATTATTGAAACAAACTCAAGAGAAATCTTGAACAAAACAACAGCAGCAGAACATCGCTACGATATAACTTTGAAAGAGAATAAATCTGAAATAATAAATCGCATTCGTCGTTACTTAGACATTAAATCCAAACAGTTAATGAAACCAGTGAAAAATATGAAACAAAAGCTACATAAATACCTAAAAAAGAATAAAGTGAAAGAAAGAGTGAAGAGATTTGTCTACGAACCATTAAAGCATTTGAAAATAAAAAAACAAAGTATCGTTAGTCAATCGAAATTGAATACAAAACACATACGTGACGGCAGAAAATCGTTAACTCGCAAAAATACTCCATATAATAAACAAATCAAGAGAGAAGCTTTTCCCAAAACAGAAGTAAAAATGGAAACTGGTCATAAGAAAGATTTATCCAATGGAGATGCAACACTGAAAGCGCAATTCTTATTTAAATCCTGTATGAACTATGATATACTTCAGAAACGTGGACATAGACCACTCCTAGATCTTTTAAATATTTTAGGTGGATGGCCTATTCTTAATCCACAATGGAACTCCAGCAACTTTGATTGGCTAGAACTGATGGCCAAATTGAGACTATTTAATAACGATATTCTAATTTCAGAATGGGTAGGTCCAGATATAAAAAATTCGGATGAATTTGTTATACAATTTGATCAAACCAGTTTAGGTATTGTATAAAAAACTTAGTGCTTATTTCAGATAGCTATATGAGTACAATCAACACTGTTTTCAATATCATTTGTTTTATAACAGGCTTACCAACTAGAGAGTATTTTCTACAAGAGGCGAACAAATCTTATTTAGAAGCATATAAGACATATCTTATAAAGATAGCTTTACTTCTCGGTGGCGACCCTGATTATGTAAAAATTAGTACAGATGAACTAATTGGGTTCGAAATAAAGTAAGCACCTATTACAATTATACTATCTAAATTAATATTCAAAGCACTCTACGTTTTAAAACATTAATCTTGAATAAATTTAAGTCACGAGTGATTCGTGAAAAATATGTTCGAACCTAAAGTTAGACAACTCGCCGGGTGGTGGGGACGGTTGGATTGTGAGAGTGTAATCATAGGGATAACAAAGAAAGGAAAGAACCACTGTATTAGAGTAGAATTCATTGTAAAGGTTTACATTGACATGCGATGGAATTATATCGATAAATGTCGAAGCTGTCGGAAACATTTTTGTACTAAGCTTTTTAAGTATAAATTGCATCCATATGATGTAGAGTCGGGTGAGTATTTACAATATGAAAAATTTTATCAAATTTTTAGACTAGCAAAAATAACTTCTGCACCTGAGGACAGACGAAACGTCTCGGAGCTATACAAACGTATGCCACTTCATAAACTCGAGGAGATGGTACCACAAGTGAAGTGGCGGAGATATCTTTGCATTGTAATGAATCGAACTATTAAATCAGACGAGACAGTGGTAATGTTCGCTTTGAGTTATGTTCGTGTAAGTTTCCCTTGAATATTATTTCATGCTATTGTGTATTCCTACACCTTCATATTTCACTATTTATATTATTTGGTGTTTCAGCATTTGGTCCAATTAATAAAACAAACGCCGCCACATATCCTGTCCAATTATTTGCTATGGCGTTTTGTAAGACATCGTGTTAACAACCTGGACGATCGCTTTCAATCAGCCAAACAGCAGTAAGTTTTAATTTTACTTGTAGCCAAAGTAGCTTTGAGGTTGTTTTGGTAATATAGATGCTAGTTCAAACACCAAAATATAATAAATATATAAAATAAATGTGCAAATACTATTATGTGTATACATCAAATATAAAGTACCACTCTTTTTAGTATGATAAATATTTCTTTGTTCTGAGGTTAAACCTTTTAAAACATCATTAATATGCTACACCGACATCACACCGATCATATTATCACCAACCTATTAATGTTCATACTACTGGGACTTAGGCCTTCCCTATGGATAGAATCGAATAGGAAGAATGGGCCATGACCCTCTAAACGGACGGAGTACGGATTGGTGGATGTCAACAACTGCACATGCAGCCGGGATTAACGATTTAACGTGATTTTCGATGCACGGAAAAGTTCAGATAATATTTTTTTTGTCACCTATGCCCGGATTTGAATTGCGAAAATTACTCAATAAACGTATCGGAGTTCTTCTTATCTTACGCCATCGAGTTCTCCATCACAACGATATCGATACTTAATAGAACTATCTAAATGACTTCTATACATTGAAAATATACAAGGTGATGTTTACAGCAGACGTTGTAAGCAACATTTGACTGAAATATATAAAAATATAAACTTATGCTTTACTTATGCTGCTTTTATTGTGCCTATATAATTAAAAAACTGTTATGTAATTTATACAGATTTTATTATATACTGTTTGGTCGCGAACAAGCTCCACCTAGATGGAAGAACTGCATATCACAAGTAAACTCTAACATGGGAATGGCTTTGGGTTCGATGTTTGTAAGAAAATACTTCGACGAAATGAGCAAAAATGACACCCTCACAATGACAAGAGAAATACAACAGTCTTTCAGAGAGTTACTGCACTTGACCGATTGGATAGACGATAAGACCAAAAATCTAGCTGCCTCTAAAGTAGACGCAATGATGCTCCGTATAGGATACCCTGATTTTATACTGAATAAAAAAGAATTGGATGATAGGTACAAAGAAGTGCAGATACACCCTGATAAATATTTTGAAAACATATTGAACATACTTCAGCATTTAACAAAAATGGAACAATCGAGGTAAGTGTTTGTGATCACAAATTGTACATTATCGTATTAATAGGCACCGGTTCCAATGATAAAACGATTCCCATGCACTCTCCGTAAATAAAAAATACACATCATATTTCTTTGTTCGAACTGGTTAGTACTAAGGGAATATAATACACAGATATCCTTTGGAATATCCCAATTTGTTCTACGAGAACGATCTAATAAAGACACTTAACTCTTCTATATTTTAAACTTCATATATGTTTTTTTGTAGAATTGGACAGCCCGTAAACAAAACTTTATGGAACACAGCACCGGCGGTGGTTAATGCCTATTACAGCCGAAACAAGAATCAAATTATGTTCCCGGCTGGTATTCTTCAGCCACCTTTCTACCATAGACATTTTCCGCGTTCTCTAAACTACGGTGGTATCGGAGTTGTTATTGGTAAAATATAATATTATGTTTTGTTTCTCCCATATATATAGTTATCGACCCTTATTCTTTATAAAATATACCGACATTGAAAATCCGACTATGTAATTTACCCTCAAAGTTGAAGGTTCAATTAATTACGGTGCATTTCCGTATTTGGATAACCGATTTATGTTAATAAGTGAAGGTACCCTTATTATTTTTAATCAATCGTTCTAACAGTATTCGGGTAATATTTTTTCGACTTATAAGTGATCAGGAGTGATCCTAAGATAATTCCTTTTGAAGTCCGGAACCATATAAACGCAGCTTTTTTTCTATTTAGGTCATGAGATTACCCATGGTTTTGACGACAAAGGACGCCTGTTCGATTGTCACGGCAATCTTCACCGCTGGTGGTCGGACACAGCCATTGAAGCATTCCACAGGAGAGCTCAATGTCTGATCGATCAATACGGCCAGTACGTGGTACCTGAAGTCAACATGAAACTGGATGGAGTTAGCACACAGGTATATATTACTTGCAATAAAATAATAGGTAATTCTCTACCTCGTTTGATTATGAAAGATATTTTCATTATTTTAATACCTAATCATACCTTAGGGCTTCTGATAATATGATTAAGGTTCAACAATATGACTGAGTTCTAGCGCAAATGTATCCATTATTATAATTATATCAGCAATTTATTATGTCTCCACTGGTGATGCATGGAAGGCCACTGCTAGAATAGGTATTAGCGACAACAGTCATGCATGACCAACGGTTTATTCCGAAGCCCAGAAGCGGTTGTAATAATAAACTTATAATCAATAATCGACCCTTGGGAGAATTACATAATCTCCGTATCGGAGACCACTCCCTCCGACATATCCAATTCTCGCATCCGTACATTAACATTTGGACAACCCTGTGATACCGCAAAAATCCAAACTCGAATTGGAAATTAACTCAGGCGTCTGAATTCACTTCAAAAAGCGGCATCCGTTCAATATTGAATTGGTTTCGTTTCGTGGCATAAATGAACTGAGTTTCAAAATGACATAGAAATAGAATATCCGAGACACGTATCAATCAATCAATTTTATTTTGTATTTTAGAAAAAAATTGAATCAATAGAATTTCTAAACTGAATGACGTGAATTCGGAGAAATGAGTGATTTAGAATTTGGGTCTGGATTGTCACAGAATCGCAGGGCAGTACTTCAGCGTTATGTCCTATACAAAAAGCACTTTCCCGTTTTTATTGTAGCAACCCATAAATAAATTTCAAATTCATGTAAACAATATACTTATGAGTAAAGGCTATTATAAAGTTGATGATTATTTTAAGGACCACAATGCATGGAATTAATAGCCTTCACTCTGTTCTATAACGATTAATTATAGCTATGTACTAACCTATGTCCTAGACTTTGAAACTTGTATTTATTAATGTTCAATATATATATTATTTTGATAATGACATGATTTATGTCAATGTCATTACTTATGATAAAAAGCTGGTAAGTTTCTTTCACAAGTGGTAGGGGAAAAATATTTTTGGACGATTCAAAAGTGCTTGTAACAAGCTTACTTGAATAAAAACATTTTCATTTCATTTCAATAAATAGACATTCAAGTGTCAACAGGGTCAGCAGCAACAGTCATCTTACTCTTATTTTCAAAAATTTCTTTTTGAGTTTTTTTTAATTAAAAATCAAAGCATTGTATGTGAATGCAAAATTAATCAAATATTTATTTATATTTATTTCAGGGTGAGAATATAGCTGACAATGGGGGTGTGAAACAAGCATTTCGTGCTTACCTGCACTGGTTGCAGAAACATGGTACTGAAGGGGAAACGCTTCCGGGACTGAACCATACACATACTCAACTCTTTTTCTTAAATTTTGCACAGGTATGTAAATCAGCAAATCCTTATATTCAAGCTTAAAAACATGATAGCTAAGATAATTTTTGCATGTCCATTAAAAAGTAAGAACTGATTACTATTTCAAAATACAAGGAAACAAAGTTAATCGTTAGCATTGGTCATAAGCACCATTATATAATCTTAACTGAGCACTATTTAAAAAAAAGAATCCAAACTAAATGTGACAACGTTATTTAAAAGCAAATTATTATTTATTATCTGATTTTATGCTAAAACAGGATGCAATGATGAATAAGAAATTTTAGTCAAAAGAGTGAACTATTTTTTTTTCCGAAAACCTGGTTCGATCAAAATATTTATGTCTCGTTTGAAATACAGGTATGGTGCGGCGCCATGCGACCAGAAGCGATGCGGAACAAACTAAAAACAGCCGTTCATTCTCCAGGAAGATTTCGGGTAATCGGTACATTGTCCAATTCGCACGACTTCGCCAGGGAGTTTCAATGTCCCCCCGGATCTCCCATGAATCCCATCCACAAGTGTACAGTGTGGTAACATTGAAATAAACTTTCTAACTAAAGCTTTAAAGTTCAAAGAGGTATTGTAAAATGTGTACCGTAGCTATTTAGAAATCAATTCCCTTTTTTAGTGTTTAATTTTGACTTTTAGTGTTTTATTCATAGATTTATAATTTAGGGTTCTTTTTAAAATCGCCGTTGTATACAAGATATCTGTAAATACTGATTTTAACACCAAACCAAAGTTTAGTTGTGATGTGGAATTATAGATTTAATTTTGTATAGATTTTACCTTAGATTTTATGTATGTTTTTAATGAATTATTTATAATTAAGTCTGTAATGAAACTATTAGTACAAAAATTGTTTCTTTTATTTGTGAATATAAACAATGAAAAAAAGACATTGACAATGAAATTAATTATGCACATGACAATTTCGAATACGAAATAGATCTTGTAAATACGTATTTGAACACAGATAGCATCAAATACTTAGCCAAAAAAGCGATCAAAAATGTTGGAACAGCTAGCGTGTTTAAATCGATGGATCACTATTTGAGAGTCAAGGCGTGCTTGCCTTTTTTTATAGTTTTAGTTTAATATATTACTATATGGACATTTTGACTTTTCCCAAAAGAATGTCTGTAGATCTACGAAATGTGGTATATTTTGTTTACTATAAACCCTAGTACACATAATTGCGGACTTCAACGCTCTGCACGTCGTCATTACTCCAAAGGGTTTCTACTTCATACTGTGCGTCTTGCTCTGAATTGATATGATCACGACGTTCCCAGCGCGTTCGGACCAATCTTGCGATCTCCAACCACATGCGAGCTTCTAGTACTGTAGCAAGAAATATCGAAATGTTTAAGAACATACCAGCCCCAAAGCGGTACCCCGAGATGGGACTTGAACTGACTACTATCGCAATTCAATCGACTGCTCTAACCATTGAGTCTCACCATATCAGTATAGCATTTGTAAAGATATTTCTTTCGGCTGTTTGGATTATTTGCCTGAACATCGATGAAAATACGCTCAATAGTAGCAAAAGTAACAAGTGCTTGAAAATTTATCAGTCAACTTATTTGATTAAGGGATAAAATTTAATTTCACCGTTGTTGATTTGAATGCTTACAATATTACGCATGACTTTTCGTGCCTGGAATGATTCGTCTTGTTATATGAACTACAGTTATAGTTACGTATTATGACAAAATGTCAAAATCAAACTGCATTTCATAAAGCTAGATGTTTTTCCGCTTCGTCATGTCACCCATATATGATGTAACTTCCCGTTGGTGAAAGATATTTTAAAATAGGTCCAGTAATTTCGGAGTCTATTCAATGCCAACAAACAAGCAAATCTTTCGTCTTTATAATGTTTATAATAGAAAGAACATTTGTAGTGTAAGAATTATGTTAACTCACAAAAGAGGAAAGAAAACGCCGTAAGGAACAACGGATTGATGTTGCCATCGACGACAGCCACCGTATACAAGAGAGCAATGGCTGTGGGCGCCTGCCTGAGGAACAGACCACGGAGAGTCGCTCCTAGCCACGGCAGAAATAGGTATTCACTCAGTGGTGACCTCTGCAACAATTATGATAGCACCATTAAATAACCTATTAACGTCCCTACTGCTGGGGCATAGACCTTCCCTATGGATGAGATCGGATCGAATAGGGAATGGGCCATGACCTACCACGCGGGTCCAGGACAGATTGGCAGGAGTCAATGTCTGCAGATGCAGCTGCGATCAACAACTTAACATACTTGTAATTTCGAAGTACGGAGGAGCATAAGACAATAAATTTTTGGTGACCCATCCTATGACCGTGCCTTGCGAAAGTTGATTAACAACCGTTTTGCAGACCGAAGGCGCTAACTACACCATAAACTCAAACCGTTCTCAAACAGTATGGTATAAACTTATATTGTAATGACCGCTTACATTTATATACAAACTGTTTCCCGGAGACTTCGCCCGCGATGATGTAGCATCTAGGGTTGCCAACTCTCACGGAATTCCGGAATTCTCCCGGAAAAAGGCATAACATTTTGAAACCTCCCGGACCCCGGTCCAGGAATGAAGCTGAAATCCCCCGGACTTGCGACTGATGTTTGACTTATTAGAATAAGTGATAGGAATTTTATGACAAAGATAATTAATATTTTGACAATAAACGAAGAAACACACTGGTATAAATTACTAGGCGCTTCTCTGAATGTACGAATAAAAGAGGACAAATTATATATATGATGATAGCTGATTATTGCGAAGAATTAGTGTAATTTATTAGAAAAGTATAAATAAGAAAAAATAAATGTAAAAAAACACATGTAAAATCTGAAATATAAGTGTGCACGATTATCAATTACACGTGTAAAGTTAAGAATTCTATGACTTCATTTGTACTCAAAAGGTACTACAAGCTCCTCGCAATTTAAAAAATACAACTTTAAACAAAATAGTTTTTTATTACCATTACTTTTTTACTTCCGGATTTCTGATCAACTGTTGGCAACCCTAGCACCATCCCGTAGGTGAAAAAAAATTGACCCGCTAGTTTCGGTGACTATTTAACGCAAAAAATTCAAATATCTCCTCTTTATACTATTATTATAGATTATGTGATTAAAATAAATTCATAGCGTGTATTATCAAGCATAATTAGAAAATATTATGTTAAAGAAATCTTTAACAAACATTTATTAATATTATAAATATAAACATAAACAGAAAGAAAAAATACATAACACATATTCTAGACATTCGCTGTTGATAACAATTATGTGTTTGATCATACTATCAATACCTACATAATTATCTATAATTCATTTTTTTTTTAAGGTCCACAAAGATAATACTTATTATTAAATAATTGCGAACCCTTGGCCTTTGATAAGGTTATTACCATTACGATGTTTCATACATATACCATTTCGATGAGTATATGTATGAAAAATTGGTACCTATTATAACTCTATTAAACGTTATCAATTATCATTATAGCGCTTGCGCCGCTTGATATATAGCTGAAATAAATAAAAAAATTACCTTAGTTTTACGTGAACACGGAACCTGTAAAGGGTCCGAAACGTCAATAAAAAAAATACAAACGCGATGGAACCGTTTAAAATTTGTTTCATTTATGGATAGTGCGCTGAAAAATATAAGAAATAGTAAAGTTGTTATTATTTGACGTTTAACAAAAATTAAAACATTGCTAAATTGAATACATATGTCCAACCAACCACATAATGTAGTACGGGACGTCAGGTCAGCTTGTTTTAATGAAATACATTTAAAACTTGACTAGTAATAGTTTTATAAATATGTCATAAGTAATTTAACTCAGAATCTAGCGCTTTTTGGCTTAAGTTTTCATTTTTATCGTTCATTTGGTTATTATCTATACCAACAAATACAAAACAGTTTTCTTTTCAAATTACAACTTGACGACTCACTTGGTTTTAAGATCGTTAAAATGTCAGTGTATGTAAATTTGTGTTAGTGAAATTAAATATTCTATGCATTAAATTAAAAAAATTGATCCCCAAACAGCTCTCAGAGAAAGGTAGTTTCTACGTTTAAATTTTTTTCTTTTAATTGCTCTATAAATGTAAGTATACGCATAATCATTTTTTATCTTAGCTCAACTTGAATCGTTTTACAGCAGGTTTCCGAGTTGAGAAAAGTACAAACTCTCGACTGATAAATACTCAATAACTTAAATTTTTATCTTTCACAGGATAAAAAGTTCAAGTTTTATCAAACTGCTGTAAACTGGTCATTAACAAAACTAAAATCAGAAACGAAAACTTGTTTAAATGATGTTTAAGTAGATTTGAGACGTTCTTAACTTTAAAATCTTAATTCATAAACCGGGTGTTAGCCACAGAACACAAAAAGTCATTAGAGAAGCTTTTTGTGGACATGGCAGGCGCTCTCATATTGTTCTATGGGCGCGCTACAACTATGTGCAAACGCTCATATTTCTATTAAAATACCCCACGATGATGTTTATTAATAGGGTAGTTTTGGTTTTGGTTAAAATACGTCACGAAATTGCGCAAAAACTAAAAAATAGATTGTAATAAACATAAAGATTCTGATTTTGAGTCTTAAAGCCACAAGATTATTTTATTATCTTTAAATTAAAAGTCTTCTTCTTCTTTTATCAAAGGCTTATCTGTTTTCTATTCGTTATTTCCATAATTTAAAACGCAGTTTGACAAGACTGTACTTAATTCTTGTCTAGTAAATGCAACAGAATCGATCCCATTTTCCGTTGAAAGGACATCTTAGGACTGAGAATTCGCACGCATGGTCCTAGTACTAATATAAATATTAAGATACCAATCTAACCTTTTCTCTTGTTTAGTGGCATGAGCCTAGGTAGGTTGATAAATAATTAAATATTGAATAACAATACATACTGTTGTAACGGTATACTGAAAGGAGCTCACCGGCACACTGTACTCAAATTAAGTAACTTATTCTTTAGATAATAGCGTGTTCAAATAAAATTTGACCTCTGAATTACTGTGCCCTAACAGAATACATAATTGCGTTCAGTGCCGGATTAAGCCAGGGCAGAGCCTGTAATTTTTTGAGAGCCCTTGGTTTGCTTGAGATTAAGTATATAATTGAAATAAAACAAAATTCTTATTAACACAGTTTTCTTGATTTGTAACATTTAATTGTAAATGTAACCGCCAATACGACTATTCAGACTCAATTTGACTTACAATATGAGTATCAACATGAATATCATTGTGCCTTCTTGGTTTTGAGGTTATAGGAAATAATAATGATGGAGGCTTTTCAGAAAATTTTGGGCATTCTACTAATCACCTAATATATATTTCGTGATGATGATGATGAATAATCGAAATCAGTAACTTTGCAAATGAAACAGAAAATTCGTCCTTTACATTCTGAATGACACAATACAAGTAATCTGTAACTTGAATTTTATTTGTCAGTTTATGTTTATACTTAAATATGTGAGTTTAGGTTGCATTTATTAACACTGACGGAAAAAATATTGGTCAGACCATAGTGAGGCTGCCAATAGCGCAGGGCCAACAAACATGCGGGGCACGTAGCATTTGCTACTTTTGCTACGTGGCTAATCCGGCACTGGTTTCATTACACGGTTAATGCTTCGAAACTTGTGATTTTAAAGTATTATATATTTATAATATCGTGTATTTTTTTTATTTTTCAGTTAATTCATCTGGCAAAGCAAAATGGTTAAGGCACGAAAGTATGTCGTCAAGAAATATTTCCAAGGCTTACCCAAAAGGGACGATTTTGAAATAGTGGAATACGAATTACCGGTGCTGAAAGATGGAGATATTCTCATAAAATCTGAATACATTAGCGTCGATCCATACATGAGACTTTTCAACTCCCTGAAAAGTTTACAATACGAGCAATTCGCTTTTCAAGTTGCTATTGTTCAAGAAAGTTAAGATGACAATTATGCTGTAGGCAATTATCCTTATGAGAGAGCACTCTTGTGAGTGCTGTCTCGGTTGGTGTGATTACTGTATTATAACACAAGAGAGACCCTAAAAGAATATGACATTATCTACAAAATACCAGACATGAAAGTGCTACCTAATTCCTTGAGTATAGGTGCAGCTGGTTTGCCAGGAGCTAGTGGATATTTTGGGTTTCTAGAAATTTGTAAGCTTAAAGAAGGAGAAACAGTCGGTGTAACGGGGGGCTGCCGGCGCTGTAGGCTCATTAATCGGACAAATTTCCAAAATTAAGGGCTGCAAGGTTATTGGCTTCGCTGGATCTGACGACAAAGTAGCCTGGCTGCAGAAGGAATTGGGTTTCGATAAGACTTTTAATTATAAAGCTGTGGATGTTCTTGAAGTTTTGAAGGAAGCCACCCCCGAAGGTGTAGATTGTTATTTTGATAACGTTGGAGACGAAATCAGTAGTAAAATCATAAGCCAAATGAATATTCACGGTAGAGTTTCAGTTAGTAGCATTAACGCATATAATGAGGATTTGAACGCATTACCAATAGCTACAATTCTGCAGCCAACAATGGTCAAATGGGGCGCTGGATTGATCGTTTGATGGAAGCTTCAGAGGAGACAATTGCTTGGATCAAAAGTGGAAAACTAATAGCTAGGGAACATATCACGGAAGGATTCGATAACATCTACGATGCGTTTGTAGGTATGCTCACTGGCGAGAACTATGGCAAAGCCGTGGTCAAAGTTAAAAAAAAAAATATTTTTAGGGTCTGTCCATCCGTCGGTACACGCTTTAGCTAAAAGCTACTGGCACTAGACCCTTGTAATTTGGCATGAGTATACACGTTAATTACGCTAACAAAGTGGTAAAGTTAAATTGCAAAATAATAAAATGGGCATGTTAAGTGGGGATATTTTTATTTTCGTTTTCCCTATAATATAGAGTATTGTTCGACAGATCTTTCAAGAACATTGGGGGTGTCGATTTAGTTAACCGTTTGTGACTTATTAAGCTTTAAAGAGCTAATTTTTGTTAGCCCCTCCCCCCCTCTACCAACTACATGGTCGTTAATAAAAGTTCAAACGTTACGGCAGTAGTACCTATATATAACGAAATTGAAAGAAAAAACTATCACAATTAAATTAGCTTTACAAGTTTACGAGTATAAGCCGACCGATTGCATTTAACTCGGAAATCATACTCCATAGAAACACGCTTTAACGTGTTTTTTACTTTTTTTGATTGATAATGGTACGGAACCTTTCGTGTACGAGTCTAACTTACACTTGGCCGGTTTTTTCAAATATAAAATTGTTACAGCTGAGACAATGTTCTGAAAAAACCTTCTGTACCTACTTGTAATATTTATAATAAGTAGTATGAATCTATTTACAAAAAATAAACTATAAAATTTCACATTAAATGAATTCTCCTTAATTCTTACAAAATACAAATATTGTTGGGATGATCCAAAGATTAGAACAGCAATAAAAGGTTTTGATTTTTTGATATTATTTCCTAATTAGACGATTCAATGTTTTTTTTGATAAATCAATAAAAAATCTGCAACTGAGAGTATTCCCGTGGCTCTGGTGGCGCCTACAGTTCTAATGATTGGATCACTACTATATAATATAATACTATTACAATTATTTTTCTATTTATATAAGACTATTCTGACGCAAAAAAAGCAAATAAAAATTGGAATTAATATTCGATTTTTCAAGCAAATGTTAATTTATTTGTTTCAATGTTATTGTTTCAAACTATTATACAATCATTAACATATGATGGCATATAGTTTAAAATAACAGTTTGAAATCAAAGTCCAATACAAAAAAAAAATCGCTCTATCATTCTTTATAAAACGATATTGGACTTCAGACTTATCAATTTCCAGATTATCGTGAGTCAGTCATTCTCTTAAAAAAGTAAGTTGAGTTGTGAAATATGTATGATGACTTTGCATTTTATCCGTTTATACTACTCGTACTTTAAAAATGCGAAGGTCACTCGGTCTCGTGTTATTTAAGT